TCCTGCTGTCTTGCAAGCTGTTTGTTTCAGTATTGTATGGTATATTTCACAAAGACATAAAGCAAAAGAATATAAAATTACCATCACTGTAGGACTCATTTTTAAAAGATGCCTTCAAATTCAATGAAGTCTGTTTTACAGCTAATATGTCTCTCTCTAATTTTCAAAACAAAAGTTTTCTTTTATACAGGTTTTCTTGTATAAAATTCTAATTGCATCCTTAGCTAAAGTGAGGAGACAGAAATAACTTGACAGATATGCCATGGTTTATTAAGTCTTTTGCTTTTTGTTGATGTTGATGCTACTGCTCTAGTGCTAAAGCATTGATTTAAAGGAACAAGTTCACACTGATGCTTGCCTTGTGCTTTTATTGAACACTTTTGAGTTGTTTTCTTTTTGACTATATGCTGCTGTGGTTAAAAATAATTCACAGATAAGAATAGTGGTTTTTTTATGAGTGTAAGCTAATAAATTATTATGTTTACATGCCCTGAACTTAATTATTTAAGACTTAATATTATTTAATACAATGGATTAGAAAACTATATGTTGTCAGTCAAGTACTGTTATAAAAAGAGAGCAATTTACCGATATTAAAGTAATTGCAGATCCTCAGCTACACATACTGTTGTGCTTGTTTTAATTCCTGATATTTGCCATTAGCTTGCTTTTACGTCTTTATAAATGTGAACTGTAATATGTAAAATGCCACAGTAAAATAAGGGGGCTTTGCTGAATGTTATCATTGTTCTATTAGCATATGTATGCTAAATAATCATATAATTAATTATTTTGCCTTCCAGCTAATAAATGATAAATTTCAAACTCACCCCACATTCTTTGAAACATAAGGCATGGAATCAACATATTAAATTCCATCTTGAAACAGGATGTTTCCTTATAAGAGCTTAAGGCTGGACTTTTAAACATATTTATATGCTGAAAGATAGGAAAATAATGGGGTTGTGCCTATTTGCTTAGCCACTTTTGAAAATCTCATTGGGTAAAAGCTTGCTTCTACAATATACTCTAGACCAGTGTTTCCCAAATGGGGTTCCGTGAAACCCTGAGGTTCCGCGAAGTGAAAATAAGGGTTCCGTGAGAAAACTCCATGACAATAACGTTTTATGATTTAAAATAATATTTAAGAATTTATTAATTTTATTGAAAACAATTTTAATTTGTTTATGCCACAATAAGTGTCCCTGTGTAATGCCAGCTAAGCCAGGGAGTGGGGACAATGATGTCACTACTCAGTGCTGTGCACGCAGTCAGTTAATAGTGCAATTGCCTGTTATATATCATATATAAGACTGTTATTAGGGGTTCCGCAAAATTCTTTCGAGTTTAAAAGGGTTCCATGACCAAATAAAATTGGGAAACACTGTAGACAGTTGTCTTCTCAGCAGATGTATATATCCATATTGGGGAGCCTTGTGGGGGAAAAACGTCTCCAGCCTGCGGACAGAAATAGCACTAACTTAGTGGAAGTGCCTCTTTGCATGATGTAGCCAAAGCAGTGGGTTTTGTTTGCTCCCATTCAGCAACAATAAAAGGTTGAAACCTCTTTAGAAATAAAAAAAAAACTATAGGACCAAGGAGACACCCTGGAAATAGTTGGTTCCAGAGGGAGCCATAGCTGTGATAATAGTAAGCCCTTAAGAAGTATGGTCCTGCATCAGGATATGGTTGTTTGAGTAAAGTACTCTGATAAAGCTGAATGAAGTGACCCAGAAATCAACTATGGGCTGCAGACTTACCTCTCGTCAGGGTGATGTGTTCACTACGAGGTGTGAGTGCTTCAGGTCCACATTGCCTAAATTCTTTTCTTCAGTGACAGCTGTATCATGATAGGGTTATTACTTGGCTGACCTGCTTACAATGAAAAACATTAAAATTGAAACAGTTGTATAATTATTTTTAGTAGGGCTATTCTGTTCAGTCACTTCCTCACCCACTCACCCTAAATTTCCATGTGCTGTTTAGGAAACAACTGGGTTTTGGACATAAGTGTGATAAAAGGGCTTATAATTTTAATAGCAGTACAATTTAAATTACATTTTGAATCTATTTATTGTGTGAATGTACATATTGAAATTACTTGAGACCAATCAGACAGAAATGTGTGACTAGTTACTGCAGCCACTGTGCTAATTACTAAAGGCCTGAATTGCTGAGCACTTACAACTCCATTTGAAATTAGTATGAGCTGTGGGGACTCCACATTTGATGATCCCAGGCCCCTGTTTGTATAACTTTTTATTACATTCCTTATGTAAACTGGATCAATTTGGAGTAGCTAAATGCATATGCAACATTGGAAGACCGTGTGCCACCTTGAGAAAATACATTGATGTTTGCTTCTAGAAAAGCAGTTCTTTTTCAGCACGAAAAGCCTGATATTATAATAGGCAAACATCAGCCTTACCATTTGGAATGATGCACAGTCATCAGTCTCCTGGCCAGATGTGACCACACTGCATACCACAGGCCATAGAATGTCAACCAATAATTCCTGCAATTAATGGAAATTATTCTTGTCAGGTAAGTGAATGTTACTGAGCTGATAATTTTGAGGTATAATTTGGGAAGACCTACCTGCTCAATATAGAGAGTCCAAGTGGTGACGAAGCTACCATTTAATTATGTCCAAAGGTGTCTTGTTTGAGGATGGTTTAACTAAGACCTTTGTGTGCATGTTTCAGTCACAATACTGTTGCTTTTGTCAACCTGAAATACTCTTAAAAGTGGAAAAGGTCCTCCAATCTTGACCTCCAAACCTTCTGAAAACCTGCTTAGGCTAATTTTGAGTTACTTATGAAGCTTTTGTAATATATGTTTTCTGAGACAAAATATTTCCTTTGAAAACAAGGACAGGTACGGCTATTTTTTTGCTTTTACTCTCAGTATATTAATTCGATGATTATGTGAAATAATTTCAAATACTTTTTCATTGCTTGTTACACATAGCTCTCCCTGCTGAGGCTCAAGGTTTCAGTTGTAGAGCATTATTTCATAAACTCCTTGTGATATGTGATCTTTGAAAAGAACAGAGTATAGGTACACTAATATATCCAGTCTCCACAGAACAAAAAGAGTGGTGATTCATCTGATACGAATCACAAGACAATCCTGTCAGTTTTGTGGAGGAAAACCCTGGGACGAAGTTTTATTTATGTGCAATAAAGTAAGTAAAGCTGCTTTGCTTTCCAGGACAAAGGATTTAGATTTGTATCTTGAAAAAGCTCAACTCTTTGTTCTCCACCCTCTGTTGGTCTTTGACATAATTCAGGAGTACTTTGGCTCACAGTGATAAGTGATTCTGTTTTCATCGCATTACTTATAACAAAAATCTCTCAAGACCTTAAAACATTAGACTTCTATAGAAAGAGCTATGCTGATGCTGTTGTACAAAAAACATTCAGACACAAATATTAAATTCATTCTACAAGATAATTCATTAAAAATTACGTAGATATTCATTGTTTTCAGCAATGCATTTTTCATCAATCAAAATGGTAGGTTAAATTGCTTCTTTCTGCTATATTTATATGCTTGCACAGGTGAGCTACTAGCTCTTAAAGAAAATAAATTAATTTCTACTTTAAATTGTTCACTAAACTATTTGTGTGAAGAATTTGGTTTGTAATTTCTCTGGGTATGTCTACACTACCCCGCTAGTTCGAACGTGGAACGAGGTGTACCGGTAGTTCAGAATAGGAAGCCTAGTCTGAACTACCTAGTTCGAGCCCCGTGTAGCCGCGCTACACGGGGTTCGAACCAGCGGGGATTTAAAAATGGCGGCTCCCCGCTTATGCAAATGAAGCCCAGGAAATTCAAATCCCGGGCTTCATTTGCAAGTGCGGTATGCCTACATTACCCTCCTAGTTCGAACATACCCTCTGAGAGTATTCTTAATGGGAATACTCATTGGGAGTATTCAACATTGGAGTGGTTGCAATTAGTTTTGATTGAGTATACTTCTGTTCCCTGATTGGGTAAGCCATACTGTGTCTTGGAACACAGTTTCCAGTGTAAATGTTTTCTCTCTAGCTGATATATTTTGTAAAAGATCTGTGTTTGTATGTCTTTTCTCTTATTTTTCCTTTGTATTTAAATTATTGTAGAACTAAAAAGAAATGTTGACTATTTGTCTGTTTTTATAATGCAGTAACAGTGGTTGTGTCTGTGAATCAGCGATGTTAGTTGTTCCTCTTTTATTCTTGGGTTGTGTAAGTTTTGGTGAGTTGTTATACACACAGTGCCTGTGATTCTGTTTACTGTGGTGCAATTCAGTGGTTTGAACTAGAAAATGAATCTCAGCTGGTTTATTTTATGTGCTAAGGAGTGAGGAGGAAAGCATGTGTTACAGCTTACCTCTATATAACTAGAACCCACTTGCACATCACGTCCAAGCTTGGCTTACTGAGCATGAGTCTAAAGGAGTTGAAGTGATGTTCCACCCTGTGCTCTTTCCCATTTCTGACCATCAGGAAGGAACTGGGGGTTTGTGGCAAAATAGAGGATCGTACTGCTATATTCTTCTATCTAAAGTTGGTGGCAGAAGGTGCACGTAAAGAAAACCCCACACAGCTCCTCCTCCCAACTCTCTGGTATGTAATTGTCTTTAGCTTCAACTTGTTTATTCTCACTTACCAATCTGTAACTTATACCACCTCTCACATCATGTCTGCATTTGGTCCAGCATTATAAATATGCTACAGCAGCAATGGGAAAATATCACAGTGTTATGTCAACAATCGTTGAGTTGCCATGTTTTCTGTGTGTGCATGTGTGTAAGATGGAGAGAGAGGTAGATGGACACCACATCTAGGAAGTACTGGATCAGAAGGTCCCGGTAAACAAAATGAGAGATTTAAAAGGGAAAGAAAACATTTTTCTTCTCGCCTAGTGGTAACACATACAGATTTGCAAGCTAGAATATCTTCAGCTGGTTAAGATTCTCTTTTGCAGAGATGCAGGAAACAGCTCAGGTTAAGATGCCTTTGTCAACAATGGAGGCAGTTTATGTGTGGAGTGCCTTTATATAAGACAGCTCGACTTCTGTACCTGGTGACTATTGATTTTAAGCCACCCAATGCACAAGTGTGCTCTGCAATTTTTTTTTTTTTTTGCAAGAATAAAAATCCATGGCTTTGAATATGTTGATTGGCTAAGGTACTGTCCAAAAAAAGAATATAATCAGGAGAGTGAAACCAAATGAATCTCCAATGCAATTACATTTTGCTTAATAGAATTATTCCAGAGCTTAATCCTGCTTATCCTTTGGTTCATACCTACCTTCTTGGCTTCCTCCTAATGATAGTGAGGAAACAGTAGTTTTGTGTGACAAGAACAAACAGAGAATCACAGAATACTAGAACAGGAAGGAACTTCAAGAGGTCATCAAATCCAGTCCCCTCTACTCATGGCAGGACCAAACACCATCTAGACGCATGACATCCAACCAGTTCTGAAACAGTAACCACTAACTAGCCACACTTAACACTCACTCACTAGCCACATTGTTCAAAGCAACTAGCCACACTCAACAGGCCAAATAATCACTAGAGCCTAGTGTGTTGGACACCACAGATCTAAAACATCCCTGACAGGTGCTTATCTAATCTGCTCTTAAAAATCTCCAAAGGGTGGCGATTCCAGAATCTCCCTAGGCAATTTACTCCAGTGCTAAACCACCCTGACAGGAAGTTTTTTTTTTTTCTAAAGTCCAACCTAAACCTCCCATGCTTCAATTTAAGCCCATTGTTTCTAGTTCTATCATGTGACAGATGTTAGTCATATTG